GAGGGGGGGGGGCAATGTGGCATAAAATATCAATAGATTTGCAAAAAGTCTTCCAGCCTTAGAATTTGAGACAAAATTGTCAATAGGCTATATTGCGTGATCTTCCCAGATGCCACTGGAATCAAGGGGAAAGCTGTTATTTGTTGGTGCAGACCAGAGTTTTTAACAGCAATGCCATTGCTCAGACCTGGACCATTTTTAATAGTAACACCTATATGAGATTATTGGGTATCCCATTCCAAAACCTTGGCCATTAATACAAAGTTTCATTGGCCGGTAAAATAACCTCCACTCTTCTCAGAAGGATTTCCACCAGATTTTGAAGGTATCTGTGGGATTTTGTTCCTATGTGTGAGGTCAGGTGCTGAGGTTGGATGAGAAGACCTGGCTCGCAATACCTGTTCCAGTTCATCCCAAAGGTGTTCAGTAGGGTTCCTTCACACCAAACTGGTCCAACCATGTCTTTATGGAGCTGACTATGTGCATCTTAAATCAATAACTGCTATGGAACACCTATGTTCCATAAGTTGTTCCTATGTTCCATAAGGTTGAAGTCAGGGCTCTGGTGTGGGGGAACATGAGTGGACTTCACAAACTGGTCAAACCGTGTCTTTATGGAGCTGGCTTTGAACACACGGTCATGGTGGAACAGAAAAGGTCTTTACCAAACTGTTACCAGTGGCTGGAAGAGCACAATTGTCTGCGTTGACTTTGTATGGTATGGAATTACAAAACCCCTCACTGGAGACCTCTGAACTTCATCGTTTGGAGGGGGTCCATGTACCTTGGGTCATATAGATAGGTGTGATGGTCAGGTGTCCACAAACTTTTGTGGGAATTTGTGTCCGTGTGTGAGGTCAGGTGCTGATGTTGGATGAGATTTGCTGTTCCAGTTCATCCCAAAGGTGTTCAGTAGGGTTGCGGTCAGGGCTCTGTGGCCGCACCATGTCGTTATGGGGCTGGCTTTGCACACAGGGGATGGTTGTGGTGGAACAGAAAAGTGTCTTCACCAAACTGTTACCACAAGGTTGGAAGAGCACAATCGTCTACAATGTCTTTGTATGATGTAGCATTAACAGGACCCCTCACTGGAGACATATGATCTCATTTGAAGGGGCATCTAGTTGTACATTCTGTTGGCCATACAGTATAGTAGATGTGTTGGTAGGGTGTTGACTTTTTTGGGCCACATAGTGTTCCTGTGCTTAACCCTTTCACAGCAATCTGACAATGGTGCCTGACATACATATACATTTGTTTTAACCATAGTTATTCGCCTAGCACAACTATCCGACTCCAATAACTCCTCCGCAATAGACATACATAGCTCAACGATATATTTACCATAGTGTGGTAAATCGCTCAATTTGTCCCCATGCACTAGTATATTTATGTAACGTACCTCGTTGGCATTGGCTCTTGAAGAAACGCCCGCAGCAGATGACCGAAAAGGACACCAAAGTAACCAGAATAAGTGCAAGGGCCACCATTATAACCGCCACTAAAATGATAGGATCCCGAGAAGGAGTTGGTTGCTCTGTGCTCGGTGGCTGGCCAAACCCTGGGCTGGGATGACCTAGAAGAGCATTATTCACAGTCAGAACATATACATTCACGTTTCTAACATTCAGTTTTAAATAGTTATCCAACCTACATTGAGTTTCTGTGCGCGGCGTGTGGGAAGTGCATGGGAAGCATTCCAGCTCCTGGAGTCCTCCAATACGAGTCTTGCTATAGAACCTAGGACAATATAAACAACATCCTGAATGTCTTAATCCACTTATGTGCAGATTTCATATGTCTAAGAGTATAATTAATCACACACGCATGTAGAACCCCCAATGTGACATTTGTTGGAGTGGAGTGGGTAGGTCAAAGCACATTATTACTACATTAAACAATTAGTTAACAGTTCAATAACATAAACCTGATGAACAGTAAAGGTGTCCATAAGGTGCTTGATTATATACCTCAAAAAAAAACCAACCTGCATAATCAAGAATATTTTTGGGTCTAATGCCAAACCCCATCATCATATGCTTACTCTGTATATCTGAACGTTTTTGGACACCTGACCATTACCATTGCCCTTAATATGAGCTTGCTGGACATCCCATTCCAAAATAATGGCCAATAAGAGGAAATGGCCCCCTTTGGTGCTTTAACAGCCTTCACTCTTCTGGGAAGACTTTCCTCAAGATTTTAGAGGGTGTCTGTGGGAATCTGTGGCCATTTGTGAGGTCAGGTACTGATGTTGGATGAGAAGACCTGGCTCACAACTGGTGTTCCAATGTATCCAAAAGGTGTTTGATAGGGTTGGGGTCAGGGCTCCGTGAAGGCCACTCAAGGTCCTCCACAACAAAGTGGTCAAACCTGATCTTTATGGAGCTTGGGCATTTAAATGGTGTCGACCACTCTTTGTGGCTATACCATCCTCAACTCTTCTTTGAAGGCTTTCTGCAAGATTTTGGTGGGTGTCTGTGAGAATTTGTCCCATTTGTGAGGTCAGGTGCTGATGTTGGATGAGAAGACCTGGCTCACCATGGGTGTTCCAATTTATCCCAAAGGTGTTCAGTAGGGTTGAGGTCAGGGCTCTGTAGAGAACACTCAAACTCCTTCACACCAAAGTGGCCAAACCATGTCTTCATGGAGCTAGCTTTATACACAGGGGACAGTCATGGTAGAACAGAAAAGGGTCTTCACCAAGCTGTGACCAGAAGGATGGAAGAACACCATTGTCTACAATATCTTTGTACGCTGTAGTATTAACAGAACCTTCACTGACTACACCCAAAGGGGGTTCACATACTTTTGTCCATAGAGTGCACATTTGGCACACTCACCCTGGTAGACAGTCGCCGCACACTGAGTTTGTAGTTGGGGTGCAGTTCACTTTCAGCACCCGGTTGATAATTACGCAAGGGAGACATCTAAGGCAACGCTGCTGACTTCGATCCTCTTTATACCTCCCGAGCCTACATGGCACACACCGAATGTCCCTTGCACTGCTGCAGTCCTGTGAAGACATTTACATTTGTGTTACCGTCTATTAGGAACAATACAAAGTAAAATTGAAATCTCTACTTCATGGAAATGAACCTGTAATAACATATATTTGGGAGCTACCAAAGGTACAAGATCTGAGGATATCATCCTATATCCTAGATTTACTACCAGGGATGAGCAAGCTTCCTTAACGTTTCATCAACTGCGGTTTGGACAAACTTTTTAAAAGCTTTCAAAACTTTAAAAATTCGGAAATTCCAAACCTAAAGTCCTACAGAGTTCAATGAGAACTCTAACCATGCACCAAAGAGTTTATTTTGCGTAGAATGGTTTAAGAAGCTCCTGGCAGGCCTGCTTGATGAGATGATGGGACTATCACCAACCTGATGAGATGATGGAACTATCCCAAGCTTGACGACATAATGGGACTATCACCTGCCTAACGAGATGATGGGACTATCACCTGCCTAACGAGATGATGGGACTATCACCCGTCTGATGATATGATGGAACTATCACAAGCTTGACGACATGATGGGACTATCACCCGCCTAACGAGATGATGGGACTATCACCCGCCTAACGAGATGATGGGACTATTACCCACCTGACTAGATGATGGGACTATCACCTGCCAGATGAGATGATGGGACTATCACCCTTCTGATAAAATGATGGGACCATCACCTGCCTGATATGATGGGACTATCACCCACCTGATGAGATGATGGAACTAACACCTGTTAGATGTAATGATGGAACTATCACAAGCTTAACGACATGATGGGACTATCACCCGCCTAACAAGATGATGGGTCTATTACCCACCTGACTAGATGATGGGGCTATCATCTGCCAGACGAGATGATGGGACTATCACCCTTCTGATAAAATGATGGGACTATCACCTGCCTTATGATATAATGGGACTATCACCGGCCTGACGAGATGATGGGACTATCACCGGCCTGACGAGATGATGGAACTATCATTATTATTATTACATAGTATTTATATAGCGCCAACAGTTTGCGCAGCGCTTTACAATATAAGGAAGACATAACAGTTACAATACAATTCAAGACAAGGTGGTAAGGAGGGCCCCGCCCCTGAGGGCTTACAATCTAAAATAGGAGGGGGAAATTATACATGAGGTAGCTGTGGGAATGAATTATGTGAGAATGTGAAGGTTCAGTGGTTAGGTTGCGGTGGGATAGGCTTCCCTGAAGAGATGAGTCTTTAGGGAACGCCTAAAGGCAGTCAAGGTGGGAGATAGACGGACAGGTTAAGGTAAAGAGTTCCAGAGGATGGGAGAGACTCTAGAGAAGTCCTGGAGGCGAGTGTGGGAGGAGTGGACAAGGGAGCTGGAAAGCAGGATGTCAATGGATGAGCGGAGGGGACGGTTAGGGTGATACTTTGAGACAAGGTCTGAGATATATCCGGGGGCGGAGTTGCCACAAGATAGGACTATGATGGGACTAGCACCCGCCTGATGATATGATGGGACTAGCACCCACCTGACTAGATGATGGGACTATCACCTGCCAGACAAGATGATGGGACTATCACCTACCTGATAAGATGATGAGACCTGATAAGATGATCTCTGACGACATAATGGTACTGTCACCTCCAAATGCTATCACACAGTTGTCACAGGACTTGTTAGCTCCTGTGTGATAGCAATACAATGAAGTGAAAAAAATGTATAAAAAAAAATTAAATAAAAATTGATTACAAAATAATTAAATAAATAAAAATGTAAAAAATAAGTAAAAAAATAAAAGAAATAATCATTAAAATAAAAAAGGCGATTAAAAAGTAAAAAAATAATAAGATAAAAAAAATTACATAAAAAAAGTTTTAAAAAAACAAAACAAATGTAAAAAAAAAAATGTAAACTAATCCTGCCGCCTCCGCTATCTGTTTACCGTTCCCCATTGAGGTGGGGGGTTGGAGGGGGGGCAATGAGGAACCTGGCCTTGGGGCAGCAGAGAGAGGAAATCCGGCCCTGGGGGCAACTGCATATTAATGGCCATGGTCTTGGAATTGGACTCTGGGTGCGATAGTCAGGTGTCCTCAAACCTTTGGCCATATATTGTATAACCTATCCAGAATAAATTCCAACAATCTCACCTCAGAAAGCTCCTCGCCCGGCCCACACTGAGCACACGGGAGGCAGTTGCCTCGTTCATCTTTATATTCGCTCATTTGGCAGTCCGTGATGACTTCACATACCAGGACTAACTGTAACAACATAAGAAATTGTCCGTGATGCCATTACATTACTCTTTAATACGCATGTAAAACAACCCAGGGAGGCACAGTAGTCTACTATCAGTACATTGATGAAGCCTTACCGTAAATATGAAAAGGATCCACGTCAGGTGTGTGCGCGCCGCCATCCCTGAAGATCTGCGATCACTTTAAAAACAGACCGGCAGCTGGCCAACTGCAAGTGGTGGCTCTCCAGTGTTCTAACCCTGTAATAAAGAAGGTTGCAGTGGGGTCAGCTCGTCCTTTAAAAGGTCAGGTGACCCAAAATGAAAGCAGATGTGAACCCGACCACTGAATTCTCATACAAGCCACGCTGGCGTCACTCAGATTGAAGAAGAACGCCGTGGAATTTTAAATACTTGCCCAGGCAGCGGGGCCACCCTCACACTGCAAGAGTTAAGCGCTCGTTTTGTGTAGGGGGCTCAGATATAGTCACCTGATCCTCGGTTCCAAGGCGGTCAGCGCTCACCTCGACCCCCCTCCTCCCTGGCATTGGTATTGCGCCCTTCCACGACCTCAAGTCTAATGCAAGTCAATGGACCTGCATAAGACGTAATGGCATCAGCGGCCCTTATGCCACCAGAGTCCAGGGGAAGAAGAGGCGGCGGGAACCGTTGTAGCAACCTGGCGGGACCGAGGATGAGGTGAGTATATTTGCTTTATTTGAGCACTTAACCCTGTGGAGCCCCATCGCAAGGGTGCGTTTCTTAAATTCCCAGAGTTCTCCTTTAAATCTGTAGCTTTCATTACAATATTCCCTGCAACTGAGGTCCTTATTCAGCCACTTCCTGTTATAGGGTGACAACGCTCTAACGCTATGTCCTTGTTCAGGCACTTCCTGTTATAGGGTAACAACGCTCTAACGCTATGTCCTTGTTCAGGCACTTCCTGTTATAGGGTAACAACTCTCTGTCCTTGTTCAGGCACTTCCTGGTATAGGGTGACAATGCTCTGTCCTTGTTCAGACACTTCCTGTTCTAGGGTGACAACGCTCTGTCCTTGTTCACGTACTTCCTGTTATTGGGTGACAACGCTTGGCCCTTGCGAAGACACTCCCTGTTATAGGGTGACAATGCTCTGTCCTTGTTCAGACACTTCCTGTTCTAGGGTGACAACGCTGTGTCCTTGTTCAGTCACTTCCTGTTATAGGGTGACATTGTTCTGTCCTTGTTCACGTACTTCCTGTTCTAGGGTGACAACACTCATGCCCTTGTGAAAACACTTCTTGTTATAGTTTGACAATGCTCTGTCCTTGTTCAAGCACTTCCTGCTATAAAGTGACAACGCTCTGTCCTTATTCAAGCACCTCCTGTTATAGGATGACAACGCTCTGTTCATGTCTCCCAACTGTCTTCCTGCATTGCCACCCTGTCACACGGACTTCCAATGGAGACTACAAGTGGCCATTTCAGCACACATTACACAGACACGGTCCACTGTTGTCACCATCAGGAAACCCGCCCTGAGAACTGCCACGCAGCCATCGCTGGAGTGCATGTAGACAGGAAGTGGCTGCACAGTGCCTGCAGGAGATCAGCAGCACTGAATAGAACAAAGAAACAGAAATGCAAATGGGATTTTATTCTAGAATAAGGAATTGCTTATGGCACAGAGCAAAGGAAACGTCATGCAGTTGTATGCTAACAACAACAAAGTCTATGTTCCCTCAGTCAAGAGCTTCGGAGGATACATTTCAGGGACTGTGTGGGAGAACACAGAAGGTGATACACCCAATCCAATACAGACCAGGAAGTGGCCAACTTTAGGGGGGCCTCGTGTGTGGCCCCTGACCAGATCAAAGGGCTGCAATACTGTGAGCATGCTATAGGACCCTGGTGCCCAATCTGCAGCACATGAGGCTCTATGACACTTATTGCGTGCCCCTTGGGGCCCCTAAAAACAGTGATCTCTTGTGGTGCTGGCTCGGGCCGGTTGGTTTGATCAGCAACACTGAGACGTCAGAAAGGAAGAAGAGGATCGCAGAAAAAGGAAATGTCGCCCAGTTACAGTTTATATCTCTGTACATAGCGTGGGATCGGAGGGGTCAGACGTAGAATAATAAGCTGTCACAATTCTGTAGGTCCCGTGTATTGTAGGAGGTGCGAGGTATGTAACCTTTATCCGTGCCAAGACTAGAAGGAAGGAACGATCTGAATGCCCAACGCAGTTTTATGGACGCAGGATTTATTGCTTATGGCACATGCATGGTGATATCACATGCAGCCCAGATATGGCTCCCCCGGCCGCCTGTCACCTCTTAGTATAATTTTCATACAAATCAATTATATATACATATGTATCAAATATAGAGATCAATAATATATACCTATGCATCAATTATAGAGATCAATAATATATACATATGTATCAATTATAGAGATCAATAATATATACGTATGTATCAAATATAGAGATCAATAATATATACCTATGCATCAAATATAGAGATCAATAATCTATACCTATGTATCAATTATAGAGATCAGCAATCTATACGTATGTATCAATTATAGAGATCAGGAATCTATACCTATCAATTATAGAGATCAGGAATCTATACCTATGTATCAATTATAGAGATCAGGAATCTATACCTATCAATTATAGAGATCAGGAATCTATACATATGTATCAATGATAGAGATCAGGAATCTATACGTATGTATCAATTATAGAGATCAGGAATCTATACCTATGTATCAATTATAGAGATCAGGAATCTATACCTATCAATTATAGAGATCAGGAATCTATACATATGTATCAATGATAGAGATCAGGAATCTATACCTATGTATCAATGATAGAGATCAGGAATCTATATGTATGTATCAATTATAGAGATCTGGAATCTATACATATGTATCAATCATTGAGATCAGGAATCTATACATATGTATCAATCATAGAGATCAGGAATCTATACCTATCAATTATAGAGATCAGGAATCTATACCTATGTATCAATTATAGAGATCAAGAATCTATACATATGTATCAATTATAGAGATCAGCAATCTATACATATGTATCAACTATAGAGATCAATAATATATACATATGTATCAATTATTAGAGATCAATAATATATACATATGTATCAATTATAGAGATCAGAAATCTATACATATGTATCAATGATAGAGATCAATAATCTATACATATGTATCAATCAGAGATCAAAAATAAAAAAAT